GGGCCACGCGCGCCTGCCACGGGTCGCAGGGGGCGTTTGCCCGGCCCGCCCCACCCTGGGATGGAGAACCACCCCCGTCGCGTACTTTTGGCGGCTGGGGCTCCCCCAGGAGCAGGGCGAGCTGTCCCGAGTCCGGGCCCCCGCGGGCTGGGCTGCTGACCTCTGTGGTCGCACTCACCGGTCTGGCGCTGCTCTCTCCCTCCCACCCCTGGGCACAGAGCGAGAGCAGCTGCAGGCAGAGGCCAGCGAGCGCTTTGCCGCCGGTTACATCCAGTGCATGCACGAGGTGCACACGTTCGTGTCCACGTGCCAGGCCATCGACGCCACCGTAGCCGCCGAGCTCCTGAACCACCTGCTTGAGTCCATGCCGCTGCGCGAGGGCAGCAGCTTCCGGGATCTGCTGGGGGACGCGCTGGCCGGCCCTGTGGGAACCCCAGGGCTGAGCTGCCGGCCTGCCGGAGGGCTCCCCAGCCCCCAGGGCCCCAGCGATGACCAGTGCTCAGACCTGGAGGAGGCCCCTGAGGCAGAACTGAGCCAGGCTCCTGCTGAGGGACTGGGTTTGGTGCCCATGGCCCTGGGCAGCCTGACAACCGCCCGCCCAGCCCAGAGTGTCTGGAGGCCGTGGTGACCCAGCCAGTCTGGGCCTGGGGCACCAGATGTGGTGGGACAGAGATCTGATGGCTTCCGCGTCTGCCGCCTCAAGGCAGAGCCTGCTGGGCAGCACCGGATGACCACCACCGTGCCTCTCCCTTGCTTCTTGAGGGGATGACTTTTATGGACTCCGAAGCCCCCCCAGCAGGTAGAGGGCGGGAGCGCCTGGCCCCCCTGCCCCAGCCTGCACTGCGGGTCTGGGACGGCTAAGCGGAGAGGCGTGAGCCTGTCCCGCCCTGGGCAGCACTATCCAGGCAGCGGCCGCCCTAGCCCGAGGAGAAGCTTCAACTTGCCCCTTCAGCCAGACCTTGGGGGGCAAGTGGCCTGCAGGTCCAGAGCTGGCGGAGAGAAGTGAGGTGCACGGGTTGACTTGCACTTAGCACCCTTGAGCTGGTATTAGGAGGCCACGAAAGGTCCCAGCGTTAGCAAATAAAGGATTCTGGAGCGTGCGTGCCCTCTGGTCACTGAATGGTGGGCGTCCTTCAGAGTCGGTGTGCCCTGAAGGAGCGGACTGTGGGAAGCCTGGGAAGCCTTCTCATGTCTCGCGCTGCCAGCTGGTGTCACAGCCCTGGGGGCGGCGGCCCTGCTCGCCCGCAGAGACAGCGCTGCCCCACAGTGCTCTCCCCGGGAGTCGCAGGCACCCTGAGTGGACGCTGCCCGCAGAGGCCTGTCTCCAAGGAACTGAGCAGGAGGGGCAGTGGCTGGCCCGTGTGCCTCAGGGCTGAAGCGAATGCTGCTGGTTTGGAAACTTGGAGGGGTGTTGCCCCCCTGCCCCAGGTCCCTTCAGCAGCGCCCCCCACCCCCAGCCTGTGCCATGGCCCCAGCAGAGCAGGCTCCAGGGCTGGATGGTGCAGGAGGAAGCCTCGGCGGAGAGCATTGCAGGGAGCCGCCTCCCGGCGGGGCCAGGCCTGCTGGCAGCGTGTGGTCAGGCTCAGTGGTCTCACTTTGGGCCGGTAGCGCCCGGCGGGGTGACGCATGCTGCCTTGGCTTCGAAACAGCTTTCCCCACAAAAGCCCCTGGAGGGGTGCTGCACCCTGTGGCTCCACGTGCAGGTGCCCCCAACCTGATGGGGCTTCATTTTGGTAGTTGGGACGAGAGGAGGTGAGGTGGGGGAGGCAGGTCCACAAGTCTGTGTCCCCAGGCAGGCTGGCACAGGGTGGTGCACTTGGATGGCCAGCAGGCCCACCCAGCCCTGCCGGTGCAGCCCGGCAGCACCCGAGGCCACTGTGGTGAGCTCTGGTACCATCCAGGGGCATCAGCCAGGAACAACTCCCCTCCCAAGCCCTCACTTGCCCATCCACGCAGCAGCCCTGGCAGGGCCCTCGGGAGCCTGGGGCTCCAGTGGGCAAGGGGTGGGCAGGAGGCTGACGCTCCCAAGGTCAGTGCTCACCCCTGTGCTCTGGTCTCCACCCTGCAGCAGCCTCCTCTGGAAATAGCACTCCCCCAACCGCGTGGCCTGGCACCCTGCTCCCCCGCTCCCTGCTCCCCGCCCTGCCAGGCCACAGGCTCCTCCCTCGGAGGCCCCCCTGGCCTTGGAGAGCTTTGCCTCACCTGTCCCTGAGAACTACCTCCCCCCACCCTGAACTCTTGGCTTGCTGTCTGTGCTTCCTAGGGCCACTGTGAACTTAACACAAATTTCTGTAGGTGCCAGGGCTGAACAGGCTGGGGCGCGGGGCTGGGGCTGAAGGGGTCCTCCTTTCCTTAGCCCTCCCTGGCTGCCCACCTTCCGCAGCTGATGGCCCCTTCCTCCAGCCTCAGAGCCAGCAGGATGCTGTGGCCATCTGACCCTGCCCGCCAGGCTTCTGCTGGCCTCTGCCTCCTCCTCCTACTTTTAAGGTCCACCCGGCTCACCCGAGCCTCTCCCCCGGGCCGGGCAAGCTGACGCGTCCGCAGCCCCCTGGCATGGTGCACGCACAGCTCTGGGGCGGGGACTCTGCGGCTCTCCCCTTCACCCCGCCTTTCCCTGCTGGGATGTTCTCAGCAGACCTCCGGTGTCACGCCGCCGCCCCAGCCAGAACCCCTCCTGGCCGGCGCCTGTCCCCATGCTGATGGCCCTTGCCCGCCCACGAGCATGCCCCCTGCTGCACCTGACACCCCACGCCCCACCCACCCTTCTCGCGGCAGGAACGAGCTCTCGACGCCTGGCTGCCGTCACACCAGAGACGCGGCCGAGCGTCACCCCCACACCGTCTTCCAGCCCTGCCACTTCGCAGCACCCCACCCGCGAGGCCAAAACCAGGTCGCCTCTTCCTTTCGCGCTACCCCCATTCCAGTCCAGTCCGGCTGCTACTTGCACATCCGCTCTTCCTGCCTGCCCAGCGCCCCAGCGCCAGGCACCCCGTGGCGAGTGGCCAGCCCTGCAGCGCCTTGCCCCCTCGCCCCCTGAGTGCCTCTGCTCCCGCAGCCCGAGCCACTGGGGGACACTGGGGGACGGGAGCCCGGGGACCGAGAGGGAGGGACGGCGCGGGGCGCCAAGGCGCTCAGAACTTCCCAGGCGCCAGGCCAGGGGGCGCCGCGAGGCCTCCTGGGAGCTGCAGTCCCTGCGCCAAGGCCACTGCTGCCCATGGCCGCGCCCCACCACCAGAGCCCGGAGCCTGCGTGCGGGGCAGGGTGGGGGGCGGCCGTGACCACGCGCGGGCAGTCCAGGCGGCCCTGGGGTGCGTCGCGGGGCCGCCCCGGCCTGGAGGGTGGACAGCCCCGCCGCGGCCAGCGCCGGGACAGCTCGAGGCCGCGTCTGAGGCCGCGACTCGACCTCCTGGCTCGCTGCTCGGATCTACACGGCCCGCGGGCAGGCCGCGGCTGCTGGACCCAGAGGCCGTGCCCCAGCTGGGGGAAGCTGGGACTTGGTTCTTGCAGCCTTGGGTCAGCGTTGCGGCCCTCCAGGCGCCCGCGCTGGCCGCCGCCTTCACGGGGGACACGTGGGCCCGGACGCTGCTTTCCTGCAGCGGGGCGGGGGCGGGGGCCGGGGCGGCTCCCTGCGCAGTGCCCTCGGCCTCCCGCGGGGCCAGCAGCCCCCCCAGTGCCTGCAGCCCCGGGGGTCCGCGCCGCCTGCCGGGTTCCGGGGCCCTTCTAGCTGGCCTGGCTGTGAGGCTCCCTGAGAAGGCCTCCGGTGGTCTTCCTTCCGCTTCACCGCCCGCGGCTCCTGGGGGCTGCGGGGCAGCCCACGCCCCACCCCTCTGCCCCCAGACGCCCGCCTGAGTCCGCCTCTCCAGGCCGTGGCCTCAGCCGGCGTGCGCGGTCCAGGCCCGTCCGCCAGCCTCCAGAGGCAGGCGGGCTCCTGACCCCTGCAGGGGTCTGCTGGCCAGCCGTGGCCCCGCCCACTGCCGCGACGCCGACAAGACCTCCAGCCCACGCTCAGCGCGCCTGGCGGCCTTTGCTGCCCGGGTCCTCGCACCCAGCAAGTTCCAGGCTGAACTACAGCTGGCGGCGCTCTGCGGCAGACCCCGCCTGCTCTTGTGTTTGGGCCCCCAGGCTGCGCCGACACTGCCCAGCAGGCCAGGGACAGGCCGCCCTGGCCCCCGGCGCGCCCAGCATCTGTCCATCGCACACGGTGGGCCCGATGGGCTGAGGGGCGAGTTGACCCTGTCCCTCGGAGGCCCCCCTGGCCTTGGAGAGCTTT